TGATTATATTTGATTATATTAACTTTCGTTTTAATTATTCAACTTAATATGGAGACCTCAACAGGTTCCAGAGATATGGCAAATATACCCAAATGACCCCAGAGGTGGGTTTTGTTTTTTCTAAACCTCTCTAAAAAGGTCAAATTTCACTTGTTTTGCATCAATCTTGATATACGGTACTTATTATATGTTTTAGTTTGGATTCCTAAAGCTTTTAGTCTACTATCCCATCATTCAAGGGTGGTTTTCACTATAAGTCATGTTTTTTTTTACTATGTTCAATCTGAATTTACTTTAAAATAAAAACATCTATATTGATTCTGACACTTCTACATCCAACTCACAGGTGTATCATTGCTTTGAGAAAAAAGATTATTAATTTACACCTTTTAGAAGTGAAGATATAGTCATTTGTTCTGGGCATGTCATTTTCAAGCCTGAAACCTGAAAAACATGCTTGGGGCTTAACAGGTTAAGAAAAGGAAATGAAAGTGTGTATTTTAATGACATTTCAGTAATCAAATGCACTGAAAAGCATTCATCTTGAGTATGTGATGATCACTCCGGCAAAAGACAAAGAAGCAGCAGTTGTTTACATTGAATGCTGTTGATTTAATATAGGTGACTGAACCACTGAGTACCAGAGTGGAGAGCAGCATCTTCAAGGTTATCATTTTGGGAGAAAATAACATGATTTTAGTCTTTGTCTTTCTTTGGGCAGGACCAAATATTTGTACCTATTTGCACAGTGACAGAACAAAGATGAAAACAAATCCAAGGGGCATTTAAATATCTCTACACAAATAAAAGCGATGCTGCGCGAAGTCTGACCTTACAGTGTGTCCCACATTATTTGATTCTATTTGTGGGGGGAACCGCACCGCACCACCCGCACCCTCTCACGCTGCGCCTCCCCTGAAGTTCTCTCGCGTCCCCCCAGGGAGGCGCGCCTCACACTTTGAAAAAAATGTATTCTATTTTTAATTTTTATGAGATCTATTTGTGGCGGACGATATTTAATTGTGGCGGCCACAAATGAATCAATGTATGGGAAACACTGCCTCACTCTCTACTTAACCAAAAACAATTATTTACCACCCTGGGATCAATAAAATCCAGTAGCCTCAAACAGATCAGTGTCCTTACGCAACTCCTCTCGGGGGAACCATTGGGTATTAATGTATCATGTTTATCTATAGATTTTGAATTTGTTTAACATGTTTTACACCCAAACAAAACACAGAAAGTAAATATGTCACTGTAAAGTGTATGTCGTGACTAAATCATGTTGTTCTCCCCAATCTACCAATCAATGTTTACACATTCTATTCAGTTGATCATGGAATTGTTTGAATATACTTTGATCTATAGTCTACCGATCTATGAATGTTGATATCTCTAGTGTAGTGCTTGGATGATTTATACTGATTTCTTATTTTAGCTGAAAGCTTATTATTTTGATATTCATTATGATTCCTCCAGGGATCTTCCTTGTCCTACTCATATTTCCTTTATACATTCTCCTTCTTCGAAACATTGTTAGTCAGCATGATGTCAAGAATCACTTTAAATAGATGATACAATGGTGCATTTGTCTAATCAGACATTCCTAGATCTTTCTAATCCAGCTAGATTTTATTTCCAAATTTAACAAAGTCACAAAACATAATCTCTTTATCTTTGGAACGTTGGCAAAGTTTGATACACGCTTTTATTGCAGTGGCTTACTGCAACTCTCTTTATATCAAGCTACCTCAAAAGTGACAGCTACCTTTAAGTCCCTTTACTTGTTCATAAAGACGTACATACCCTATACACCTCAGTGACTGCCTTATATATTGTTCCAACAAGTTACCTCAGATCTTCCACTGCCTTTATTTGATTAGATCCTAGTCTTTAACACTAGATGTAGTAAGATGGCTCTCTTTCTATTTTAAAAGGGAAATGAAAGACCTTTATTTTTTGATCTGGTCATTTAACTTCCCAAAATCATCGTTGATCTTTATATGTTACAACGTCTTTAGCCACGAGTTTTGGTTCAAACTCGAACAAAATGCTCAACATAAAATTGCATTAAGTTAAAGAAGACAGTGGTTATAAATATCCATAAAGTTAGATATTAAAAAACAGTTTTTCTCGAAGGCTCTTTTCTCAGTGAGTCTCTGTAAAATCACTGTGAGTCTCTTTCACAGTGTCAGACCATTCACAAATGTATTGTCAAAGCCCGATTGGCACTGAACCAACGAGGCCGTCGGGCTTCCAATGTGCCTCCGCCAGGCTGGCACGAGTGACACAAAAGGCAAGCTGTGCTGACAGCATAATACAAATTACCTGTTAACGATCTTTTCCTCCCTGTGTCACTCTCTCTTATCTCATCTCACAATTTGGACTTTGATTGAATAAACATATTGATCTCCCCCAGCGAGAGTATGCATTTAAACCTAATTTAAATAACTAAATTACCTCAAAAGGGCAATAATTGTCATACTGCTGCATAATAAAATGACTATCACACATCTCCTGGGGGCTTAATTACATTGTTAATTGCATTGTGACTCACCTTTTAGCCTAAGGCCGAGGACACATTGGCATTTCACATTTTGTGCTACATTGTGCCAGAACTCACTGTTATTTTAAGTATTTCTTTATGTTCTTTTTTGATAATGTTTTTATACATGTTTTTATTATGTTTTAAATGTTTTTTTGGGGGGGGGGGTCATCGTTGAGGTTATTGTTCGTTTGTTTTCTACAGTTTTTTTTATGTCCTTTTACAATATTTCTTATTTGTTGTAATGCACTTTTGACGACTTGTTGCTATATAAAAAAGTAAATTGCTTGCTTACTATACAATGATAGACTTTTGGAGTAACACTGTCAAGAACACATTCACATTTCGTTATGGTGTGCAGGCAACTCAAATGTTACCCAATCCGAGTTTTCGCACAAAAGAACCTCTCTCGCTATTTGAAGATAAGTTTGAACTCCCAGGGGCAATTTTACATCATAATGTTACAAGAACAGTCTGAAGAGGTACTAAAAGAGTATTTAAACAACAAAAAAAAGGAACATTTAGATAATACATTTAAAACTATAAAAATATATACACTGCCAGTGTCCTACATGACATTACTTGGACAGCATTGAAGCTGTCCAAATAAGTTGCGCAGCATTATAGTGGCTACACAATATAGGAAGTATACTATAACTATATGCTACACACAATATATATAAATTATACATATTAATAAAACATATGTCGCAAAATAAAGTACAAAATTATCTGCACCAATACATGTCAAAGTGCATTGGTTTTAATATATGTATACTTTTTTCCCTTGTTTTCCTGTTAAAAGTCCCACAATCTTGTAATCACAACAAAACGCACAGGTGGAACTAATACAATTAACGAGGGCTCTGTTCCAGCAGTCATTGTGCAGTGCAGCCATCATGAAATATGACCAGCTTACTGTAGCCTATGTTGCTCTAGCTAACCTGCTAGCAACAAGAATCAGTAGCCATGGAAAGGGAACGGCAGTAACTAATAGCAGTAGGCTAACTATTTAAACAGTTAAAAGACACAGAGCAACATTGTCATTCATTAAGAGACATGCTTCTATCCACAAAATGAATGTAAGTTTGAAATGTATTATTTTTTAACTGTGGTATTGTCTTCACCAATGCTAGCTTAGGGCTAGCTTCTATGTTTTACTTTCTTACCGTCTAGCTTAATCGCTAACTTTGCATGCTATTTTGTGCTAGTTAGCGTCAAGTCCTGTATGAGTTTTGTTTGCTGAACATTTCTGTCTATGATTTTATATAAATCTTTGAACTATATATCATTTATTACATGTACTGTAGGAGAACCAATATGAGTGGAAAACACCTGCTAAAACTATATACCGCTATTAGTCGGTGTTAGCATCATTCTCTGTTGGTTTAGCACTGAGTTGCCATTTCACATGACATGAAGGAATTTGATTAAGTGTCACTATAAAAAAGAACACTTTTGGAACATAAAATGAGGACTACCCTGTTTATTTAAAGGGGACCTATCATGCAAAATGCACTTTAGTACGTCTTTTATACATGAATATGTGTCCCCGGTGTTCCAGGGAACTCACCAAGTGTCAGAAAACACAACCCTCTCTAATACCCAAATCTCTAAAAAAGGGCCTGCAACGGATCTGATAAAAACTGATCCAGATTTGAACACTGTCCTGACGTTAGGTATGGTCCTATACTATATTATTCAAATGTACAAGTCTATATGTGCTACAAGAGATGAAGTGGTTTTATTTGACCATAAACACTGATAGCTTTGCTGGTACAAAACAACAACACTATTATGAAATAATTCAGGTTCACTGTCATGTGTATTACAAGCAATGCATCTATCCACCCACCGGATTAAAAAATGATAGTTAATATATCAATTTTAATATTAATTCCCACAGAATACATTTTCACTACATATTTTGCCACTGTCAATATCTGATGGGCTTACCAAGAAGCACAACAAAGCCTTACATTCATATTAAATATTAAAACCTCACTCCATCATTTAATATCATTTGTACTTCTTTTTTGTTTACAGTTAACTATGCCATCATACTATTAATGATGTTTACAATATTTCCAATTTAAGTGAACTGTTTACTATTTGAATAGTATTCTCCTATATTTAGTTAGGGATACAGATAGAACTTTTGAGCTGTTAACAATATTGGCAACTGTGTATGTCATTTTACCTTAAATTTAAAATGATGTCTTTAGCATTTCACATGACGCATTTCAGCTATTCTAACTGACATCAGTTAAGTTTAGTGCACAGAAGATACACAAAGCTGCTAAAAAGGTAATGCGTAATAGGCAGCATGTGTGCAGTGCAGGTGAAAAAACCATCTTAATATAGATTTAACCAAGAGGAAAAAAAACAAGAGAAACAAAACAAATCTTTTTATCTTGTAACTAATCTGTGTCTTTCTCATTCTCTTTTCCAGTAAAGAAAGCAAAGCTACACGGTCCTCCAGGTAAGAGCAAATCCATCATACTGAATACTTGTTGATGTTTGTACATTGAGAGGTGTCACATTACAATAAGAGGGACAGCTGTGTTATTTCTCACTAATAGTCTCCATCTGAGTTATATGTGGCTCGAGCTACAGTAGGAAAGTCTAAAGGAGCTAATGGCTTTATACTGTAGGTGCTCTATTATGCTCATTTTCAGGTTTCATAATTGTATTTTGTGTCTCTAATGCTTTCATTTTCTCATACTGCCTGTGTGGCAGCACCTCTTTTCAACCTCTGTCTGAAACAAGAGCCCAGTCTGCTCTGATTGGTCGGCTCTGTTATGATTGGTCAACCAGTTAGTATGTGCAGCTTGTCACGTACAAAGTTGACTTTCTACTGATGTGAGTTCCTTATTCTGGATTATTATAACATCGTATTATAATTTGACAACATACTCCTTGAACAGCTCTCTTTAAGTTGGGACAAAACGTTTTTGCCTTTTCTTTATTAAGGTGTTGATGTCTCACAATAGTTCAGGTAAACTTCCTGCTGTTCAGTGTGCAGTTGCACTCTCTGGATGATCAGTGTTTCTATATGTGACCTGTACCTGTACCTAGTGCTGTGTTCTTGCAGAGCCAACATTTTAATCTTATCAGGGTCATGTACTTGGATGTCCTCAGTATATGTGTAATAGAGGAAATATAATATTTTTCAAACAGTTCCTCTGCATCAAATTAAGCAGCAAGTCATGAGTGGAACATCCTATGTACACATCAAGCTTTTTTTCCTACCATTTTACCTCTTTGTGGGCTGCAGCTGTTTGTACCATCATCTCTCCAGGCTCTGATGAGGGGAGAACAACAGCAACGAGTGGGAGAGAAAAAAGTCAAACCAGAGTAGAAGAGAAGAAAATCAATAGATCATCATAGACAAAGAGCCACCTGCTAGCCTGAAATGACAACATGTCATCCTGGCATAAATAAGAAGATGGAGACAAATCCATCAGTGTCTTTAGGAGACAGATTCCAGATACAGGAGAAGATTTCTCCTTGGCCTCTGGCCTACAATCTCAGAGCAGATTTTCCAAGCGGAAGCAGGAGATTTGATTGGCCTCCCCAGGGTTCATAAATCCGGACATGAGTGATTGTTTTGATACTGTACAGTCATATCTACTGGAGAAATACCCTTTCATTCATTTGTTCTGTGGTTCCTCCTTTTGAATTATTCAGTTTAACTTAAAGGTGCCCTATTCTGCTCATTTTCAGGTTAGTATTTAGTGCCTCTACTGTGACATGTCTCCATGCTTTAATGTTCAAAAGTTATTTATTTTTCTCATACTGTCAGTGCTGCAGCACCTCTTTCACCCTCTGTCTGAAACCAGTGCCCAGTCAGCTCTGATTAGTTAGCTGGCCAGCTTAGTTGTGATTGGTCAACAGCTTAGAGATGTCCCGCCCCTTAGCGTATCAAATACAATATGTTGGAGCGCTCCCAAGTAGAAGCACGAGGGTTACATAGTGATATATTACGGAAGTAAACAAAGGGGTCCAATGGAGGCAATTCAGGCAGGGGGGGGAGAGAAACTCCCTCTGGCCTGAACTATAACAAAAACCTATGCAACACACTACAGGAAAGATAAAACCCCCAAAAGCACAATAGGGCCCCTTTTAATTTTATTACCATAAACATTGCTCAGTTTACTGTAAACGTAAACAGGCTTTCAGAATCCAATTTTTCTTTTTTACCTAAAACAAACTTGTTTTCCCTCTGGGCTGTAACACCACTACAAGTAGGTGATAGAGAGTATTCAGAGTATGTCATGTGACATGATTATCAGTCTCAGGGAGGACAAAACTAGTAGACTTTGTCCCACTCTTTTGCCCCAGTTTGGGATACATGATCTGATTATCTAATAGTAAAAGCAATAGATTATTAGCCTGGGGGGACTGGCTGCAGTGCCAAAGAATCCCTCTTGGAACCCCCTTGAGAGATTTTGGCCAGTAAATGTGTCACTATATTAGTTTAGAAGATTTAAGGCACATTATCCTGAGATGCATATGTCAAGCAGTCTGTTGGCCTAAAAATGTGGGCCAACCTTCAAATATTGGATGGATTGCTGTGATATTTAGAGCAGACATTCGTTGAGATCAATGCTTACAACTTTGAGATTTCGGCTTCCATTCCAAAAGAGTGGAGTTGAACTGAATTGTGTTTGTGTTGATTAAGCATTACGTAATTATATTTACCATACATATAATATTACCATAGAAATATTCCCAGTGAAAAAAGATTGGCAGTATCAGCTACTTTATATGCATGTCTTGTATCACTAGACATAAGCGATACACTTTTTTGGAAGTGGAGCAGGTGGACATAAATGCAGGAGACTTGGAGGCAACAAGAACTTTAAAAGGGAACAACTTTAATTTAATGTTCAGTGAGAGAAGTATCCCGGAAGTACCTAAGTGGCAGTCATGAAAAAAAGTCATCGGGTTTAGACAAGAAATCAAGGAGAACTCATTAGGACTTAGTAAAAGAGAACCGTGGTGTAAAGAGAATAAAAGTGCACTTCCACTGGGTAGTTGTAATTAAGATGTGACGGCAGATGACTTTGATATGCGTCTGCCATCATGAAACTCAATTTTCCAGGGATGGATTACTAAGATATAGGTAAAGTCTGAAACATTAAAGCATTTTAGCAAGTTATTGCAGCAAATGGAAAATGCTTCTGAAGCACTGTAACTTAAATCCTCAGTGTGTTGGTCATGATCAGTTGTTTTAGTGAACCCGCAGAACAACACTTTAATCGAAGCGGACGCAAGGAATTGTTAGGTAGCATTATCTCCTTCCCTTTTCTAAAGGATAGTCCAGTGTATCCTAAGCTAAGGAGATGATAAAGAAATCATAGAAGCACCTTTCTTTATCATCGAGAGGATTTGATCAGCTCTTATTATGGCTGCAATTTAGGTACTTTCAGATCTTTTCACTCCATTAGGAAGCTTCCTCAGCAAAAAGGATTGCTCGACCGATGCCTAGAATTTACAAACAAACTAATCTGAGGGGATGAAGTGCAGATTGAGAGAAGCTAAGGTGAGGGGAATGAGATGATTAAACAATAAAGTAGGCAGGGAGCTGATTAGCAGGGGGAAAACATTGTGAATAGGAAAGGAGCCTATTGGCTGGGAAGATAAACTAGGATCATTCAGAGAAGCTGTGTAGCATTCTGGGAAAAGTGATGGACTAATGAGTCTGATCCATTGCGGATTACACATCTACACGATGAGCAAAGAGGGAAAGTAAGCAGAGGATCTCAAATGGAAAACACGGCAAACGCAGCACTGTCATCAAAAAGTCTCAGACTAGATGGACATAAAGCCAGAATTTGACATGTTTACGGTGACACTGGAATTGTTTCCACCTTATGAGTCGGTGTGTATTTCATCATGGAGAAATTTGTTCCTGGAAACACCTACTGTAGCAGGAACTACAACAAAATATGTTCCTGGTAGTTGTTGTGTACATTTAATTTAGGTGACACTTTTATCCAAAGGGATTTTCTAAAAGTAGTAAACAATAAAGATCCAAACTCAGAAGAAGTGGAGTATCTGGGTCCCACTCGCAGTGAGGGAGTAGTGAGCCAATTGGCCGATGCAGGGCGAAGTGAAGGTGCTAGAGTGTAGGGCTGCTCGATTATGACAAAAATCATAATCACGATTATTTGTGGTCAATATTGATATCACGATTATTAAATACGATTATTAATTGACCTTGAAAACATCCATTTTACATCCAACATCCGGAGGAGCGGTGTTGTGTGGAAGAACTTAGGAAAGCTGGAAACCAGTCGAGCTGCTGCATTTTTTCGGGAACCTTTTCACCCCTTTTCAGTCCCTGCTAGAGAGCAGGGACTTTCCTGGGGAGAAAAAGGTTCCAATTTCTGATTGGCTGAGCGAATTGCAAACCACGCCCCGTAAAACTCTGAAAAGTTTTGTGAAGCCCCATTTTATTTGCTCGCATTAGCATTATTAGCATTAGCATTAGCCCAGCGCATCAACAGAGAGAGACTAACTTATGGCAACACAAAATAAAACATGTTAGCGGTGGAGTGATGAGGAGATGTCGGCGCTTCTGGCGATTTACTCGGAAGGCTCCAGCAGCTTCTACTGAAGCCAGTCCCCAACTCTGGGGACTTCCGGCCGGGGACTTCGGGTGGCAGTATACGCCGTGAAGTTGTTTGCGGCCTGCCAGTAAACCCAAAGCAGAAGAAGAAGAAGTGACGTCAGCGGCTTCATTTGCGTAATCCTCCCTCAGGGACTTATTCCGGTGTGAACGCGATCTACTAGATAGTTCCGGAACTAAAGATTTCCGGGGAACTAAGTTCCGGGAACTATTCCTGGGAAAAGTACTTGGTGTGAAAGCGCCTATACCTAGTATTCGGTGCCATTTCAGCTAGGTTAATCAAAAATAAAAAACATAATTTTCCATGTTTTTTTTTAATTTAATCTGAATGATGGCTTGTTAAAGTATAAGAAAAATATTTTGGTCAAGCTCAGGATATTATGTTTAACATTTTTTTTTTTTAACATCCCCAGTTACTGTGTCTACCCTATTACTGTGAAAAATAGTAAGGGTGGACATTTTATGCTAAACTTTGCTATTGCTACATGTATTTCTTTGATTTCTTTGTTTATATCTGTTACAGAAGTTGAGCAAACATGATTTGGGACACAGCAATTTGGCCTACTTGTGCTAAAATCAGAGTCATTATTTTGAATTTTGAATATCCTGGGTAAATAACATTGTTGTTTTATGGTAGAGGGGGATAAACATTTAAAACCAAGCTTTTAAAAAATAAGCATTAGACCTTTTAAATACAAAATATATGATATAATGTGTTGGGGACCTAAATAGCGATGTTAGCAATGAAGAACAGTAATCAAGACCCAAAAAGGTAATGAATGATAGAGTCCTTAGACGGTTTGACTGGATATATTCTGTCATCCCTATAGCAGCACATACAGTCA